CCGTGAGTTTTAGAATGCATTATGAAAGACTTCAAACTAATAAAATATATATGTAGTACTGTGTATTGTTATAACAAAAAAACCAAAATCTTTCCGTCTCAAAAAAAAAAAAAAAAAAAAAAAAATCAAGGCCTTTATGTTGTTTTATGGTTAGGGGGGTTACAATGATCTCTGGAACACCCAGGATATACTGACAGGTTCTGTAGTTGAGAGAATGTGAGGGTAGTGGGTGGCATATTTTTTGTTAAAAAGTTTTAGCTCCAAACGGATTAGAGCTAAATATAAACAATCAAATCATCAAAGAGTTAGCAGAAAGTACAACAGCAAGTCAAAGCATATGAAATAGAAAGAAGGAAATAATAAAGATAAGAGCAGAAATCAGTGAAATGGAAAGTATACAGTAGAGCAAATCAGCAAAGCCAAAAGTTGGTTCTTTGAAAAGATTAATAAAATTGACAAACCCCTACCATGACTGATCAAGAAAAAAAGAAACACAAGTAACTAAAAATTAGAATTGAAAACTGGGCACTACTACAGATTCTATAGACACTAAAAAATAATAAGACTATTATGAACAATTCTATGCCTATAAATTTGACAATTTAGATGAAATGGACAAGTTCCTTGAAAAACACAACTTAATAAAAAGTTAGAAAATGTAACAGATTATTCCCAACTATAGAAGGGTAACTTCTAATTATTAAAACAGTGAAAGGAAGAAACTATCATTAAATTTTACCATGTTAATATTTAAGCTCATTTATCACAAAATAAAGTTCAGATGCAATGCAGACAATAGAATAGGTAGATGAAAAAAGATGGATGTCTATAATATCAAAAGAGCTTTCATAACTATATGAGAACAAGATCAAAACAATGCTATGTAGATGAGCAAGTACATGAGAGGAAAGAAACTTTTTTATTGAAAATAGTATTCAGCCTCTTTAATTATCAGAGAACGTAAAGTATTAGAACTGCTTAAAGAAACTGGTGCCCATGCTTCAGTCAAGTTATTTGAAGTTCAGGTAGGAAAAAGAGGCAGTTGAAATTTTTTAGCCATTATTTTGAAATAATGGCTATGAAATGTGGCTCATCAGTGAATTTGCTACTCTATGAATTGCAAGGAATTGTGCATTTATGTGATTTTTTTACTCTTGACAGGTTCAATTTTGGAATGGTGTTCGGTGTAATTGCCATGTTTAGCTCATTTTTTCTCCTTGGGAAAACGCTGATGCAGACTTTGGCACAAATGATGGCTGACTCCCCCTCTTCTTATTCTTCCTCCTCTTCTTCTTCTTCCTCCTCATCCTCTTCCTCTTCTTCCTCTTCTTCCTCCTCTTCCTCATCCTCCTCCTCCTCTCTTCACAATGAACAGGTGTTACAAGTTGTGGTAAGTAACTTTTTTTTGTTTTAAATAACTTTGTTGAAATAGAGATACAAGAAATTTCTTCTAGCTAGTATAACTCCTATCCATAATATAAATATGAAAATAAAAGTCACAATTTTTCAGATTACCTGTTTAAACAAAAACCATTAGTAAGAATACAGCAAAGAATTGTTGTGATATTTGGTAGTAGTTGTAGTAGTAGTAACAGAGAACAAATAGACCGCTATCAAGACTGTCAGTAATTACACAGATATTTGACTTCATTCATGTTATCTTCTTAAGTTGTTCAATAATTGTTACTTTCAAGGAATAAGCATGCTGATTTAAGTTCTCTATAGTGGATAAATTACATTTTAATCCTATGCAAAGTGTTCCCCTTTCCTCTTTTATGGCTTTCAAAGTCTAACCAATAATATCCTTTTAATTAATGATAAAAGGCCTTTCTGAATGGGCACTGTGATTTCTTAATGTGAAAAAGAATGTACTGACTTATACTCCTTTGACTATAAATTATTTATAATACTTCTCACTTTAAAGCACGTGTAGACCTATACCTTACTGTTTTACATCTCCAGAGTTCAGAAGGGGAGGCTCTATATTGGCTCACTTTTAGTTCACATTTTTATATTTATAGTCCCCATTTCCATGAGTCATGGATGTTATGTTTGTAGTCGTGTTTTTATTAATGGAATAGGCTGTTTAAGGATTAATAACATATTTTTTTTCTTCATCTCTTTGTGGACTCTACTAGGCTGCGTCACTGGGAAGATTTAGAAGTCTTTTGTAGAGAACGATAAAGTATCTCTCGTATGGTGATAGCTCTTTCTTAGAGGTTCAACGATTCACCAGATGAGGCTCATAAGAAATGACTTTATTTTTTCAGCAAACACTGAGTGCATCCTCCCTACTGGCCATGTGCTGGGTACTGTTTATATGGAGAACACAATCCAATCCTAGCACTCATGGAGCTTTTAGTCTAGAAGGAAAGCCACTATGATTGTTCTCCAGTTGGACACCATACAGGTGCTGTGGGAACAGAGAGAAGGAGCGCGAGATGTGCCTGGCACTAGGAAAAGAATAAAGGGAAAACATCCACAGAAAGATGAGGACAGTCCACATAGCCTGGGAAAGGAAGATGGAAATTGAGTATCCCAGTAATAGAGGGAAAATATGACATGGAAAGGCAGAGGGAATACTAGTAATAATAAAACCTAGTTAATATGCAGTGCTTCCTGTGTGAGGTTTTTTGTGCCTGTTTTATTTTATTCTTGCAACAATCCAGAGGTAAATATTAATGTTATCTCTAGTATTAGCGTTATCCCTGACTTACAGATGAGAAAATCAAGGCACAGAGACATTAAGTCACTTGATTGTGGTCACAGCTAATAACTAGTGGATCCATCATCACTGACCTTAGAACCTACACACATTATGCTCTACTCCTGTTAAGAAAGAGAAATACTTCTTCAAGGAACTATAAGTAATATTGACCTGTGTCTATGGGGTATATGGTGGAAGGACAGGTAGGAGTGGCAGTAAGAGAACAGGATAGTGCAGGAAATAAGATGGGAGATAGAGGTGGGGTCTAGGTTATGAAGGGCCATCCTAAGAGGTTTTGATTTTACCTGTAGATAACACTTCTGCACAAAATAGACCAAAGTTGGTGAGAAGGAAGATGTGGAGATCATTTAAGAGGAGTAATTCATGTTAGAAGTGATAAAGATCTAAACTAAATTAGTGGTAAGGAGAATGAAGGGGATGGATTCAAATGATCTTTTGGAATAGAGTTCTCAGACCTTGGTGACTAATTGTATGTAAGGCTGGAGGGAGAAGGAAGAGTTGAAGATGACTCTCAGGTTACACGATTGGTTATCATACACCAAGAAAGAGGATAGGAAAGAAAAAAGCCAGTTTGAAGGAAATGTGATCATTGACCTGTCTGCCTGCTAGAATTAGAATGGCAAAATGTTGTTTAGAGAAGAAATTATTTCTTCTCTTTGCTTCTCAGTTTATTCATAGTGCTCACAAAAATATTGACTCTATTAGGAGAGTCATGCTTTGGAACCATTAAGTCAGCTGCCCTCTGTAGTTCACCGTACATATTTATATATAAGATTAAGAATGTTATGTCTCCTGACTTTGATATGAGCTCTTGTAGCTTAAAGAACATACTTTCTGTTTACTCTATAATTCCCTACAGCCTTGTTCAGTATTAATGCCCCAAACCCTGGCACTCTTTGTTGTTGAAAGTATTCCGTATTAAGTATTCTGGTACATCTAATACCCTATATGATCATAGCAGAGACAGATGGGCAATCATGTACTGTTGCCAGCAAATAAGACCTACCATCTGTTGGCATAGTCACACACTCAAATTCTTACCTTATCTTATTTGTTATTACATCCAGAAAACAATAAAGAGAAGGAACAAATATCCTATTTTTTTTTTTATTTCAGCGTATTATGGGGGTACAGATGTTTAGGTTACGTATGTTGCCCTTCCCTCCCCCCACCAAGTCCAAGTTTCAAGTGTGTCCATCCCTCAGATGGTGCGCATTGCACTCTTTGTGTATGCATATACCCGTCCCCTTCTCCCCCCTCCCCTCTGCCTGACATCCAATAGACGTTATTCTTATATGTGCACTTATGTGTTGATCAGTTAATACCAATTTGATGGTGAGTGCATGTGGTGATTGTTTTCCATTCTTGGGATACTTCACTTAGTAGAATGCGTTCCAGCTCTATCCAGGAGTATACAAGAGGTGCTATGTCACCATTGTTTCTTAAAGCTGAATAGTACTCCATGGTATACATATACCACATTTTATTAATCCACTCACGTATTGATGGACACTTGGGTTGTTTCCACATCCTTGGAATTGTGAATTGTGCTGCTATAAACATTCGGGTGCAGGTGTCTTTTTTACAGAGTATCATTTGTTCTTTTGGGTAGATGACCAGTAATGGGATTGCTGGATCAAATGGTAGATCTGCTTGTATCTCTTTAAGGTATCTCCGCATTGCTCCCCACAGACGTTGCACTAGTTTGCAGTCCCACCAGCAGCGTATGAGTGTTCCTACCTCTCCACATCCACACCAACATTTATTGTTT